GAATATTAATAAAAAAATATTCTTCGAAAAAAATAGGAATTGATTGAATTTTCAGGTGTTAGTCCAAAATTATTTTCTAGAAGATGTCTTAGTATTATTTTATTGTTAGTCCTATGGCTTTTTCATCACAATCGTGTGACTTTGTTAAGGAATCGGATTAAGTTATATATCGCAGTTGGATAATAATTATAATCTGTATTTTGTTTACATCGACTCAGTATATCCTCATTGTTACTTTAACACCAAAAATATAATATTTTCAAAATCACTCTCGGTGCAAATTCTTCGTATGGTATGGATGGTATATTAAGATTTAACCTTTTCTGTTTGTAACTCAAAATAACTCGTTTGTAACTGTAACTCGAAATAATCATTTCCAACCCTATAAATGTCCGTCTGACTGTTGAAATCATTCTAGCATATAAACAAATTGAGAAATAACGGCAAAATTTTGCATAGATCTGTCTTTTCTTTGCAGACAGATCAATTTCGGAGATGGGCAATATCGGTCCACGTTCAGGCACATGAGTTCTTGGGTTCGCGTTTTTTAACCGAACTCCCTGAAAATTGGTTTATTGGATTCTTATTGGGTACGAACCCCAAAAACCCTTCGGAGTTCTTGAGAGCATTTTTTAAACGAATTCACTGAAATTTGGTACATTGGGTACTTATTGTATATTAAATCTCTTCACTAAAAAATTATGAATATGTATTCACTATTTCGGGTAGCCCCCATATACGTATCACCGAATTTTCGGTATTTCTGCTGAAATTTGGTACATTGGATTCTTATGATACACTAAATCTCTCCACAGAAAATTATAGAAATAGATTCACCCTTTCGGGAAGGCCCATATTACGGTAGCCCCAAGTTTTGGGGGGTTTTAAGCACTATTCTCAATTGAATTCGTTGTATTTTGTAATCATTCTATCTGTTGTAATCATACAACCTTCGGAGGATATCGAGATAAAAAATATCGACCCGCATTTAGGCCTCACACGCGGATTTTTAATATTTAACATGCTTTTTGTGATGCAAAAATGTTAGGCTCGAAATTGAGCTACATCAGTTCTCAATTAGACATAGCACTTCATATGATGATATATCCAAATGTTCAGCAATTCCTACACGATGTAATAAATATTGGCCCCGTCTTAGATATAGCCTACAGGGACGCATACAAAACATTTTTTTGCAATGAAAATTTTCATATTGAACCAGCAGTCACCACCCTACATCCCCGACATGAAAAATTCCGTTTGACGATTTTATACGAATGTCCCATCCTACCACGCGTTGTCAATATCAGTCAACCTTCTAGGATTCTGAGATTTTAGGAAAAATCTTCATTAAAAAAATTACTGACATATGTATTTGGTGTTCATTACGATTACAACAAACTCTTGTTGCAATTGTTGGTATAGGTATACTTTTTGCTATGTTCCCTATATTTTGATTTCAAGTAACTATGAGTATATCTATGGTGAAGGGTATTCAAAGTTCGGCCCGACCGAATTTAAGGCATTTTTCACTTATAATAAAATAACCCGTAATCTGTACTTGGGCATTTTTATTTGATTTTATTTTTTATTGAGGGACATATATTAAAATTTATTTTTATATTCATTGAATAAGACCCTGGGAAGTTTCATAGCTAAATATAAAATTAAGTATTTCAAAATTTGTTTTTATTAAATAACACATGCCTGAAATTATTATTCCAACCTCTTAAAATTCAAAACACTACAGGTAAATTTAAATGAAAAAATCTCAATTTTTATTATCCTACCACACACATAAATAACACGAGTCGTTTCATTTTCAAAAGTCCACAAAGAAAAAACTCTGCCCAAGAAATATGAAGTGTTAAAATGACCCCAAAAAACTTAAAGAGGCGTTGGAACGAACGACCATCCGACCAGTTGTCATAAATTTAAACTGGAAAAATTAAAATCCAATTAATAAATTTTTGATATTTCTTCTCAAATCTGAATGTATTATTTTTTATCATTTTTTCCATAGACAAACTGTTCCATTTTGTAAAGCAATTTTCCATGGCTAGAGTTTTATATTTCAGGTTACATCACATGTGTATGGGAAGAGAAGGAGGGAGGGGTGGGGGATTGGGGGCAACAGGGAAATTCGAAATGTTAATAAATTTTATTGGACACTCTTAGACGGTTGTGTTACTTTTGCCGCCTAGTTTTTTTATTAATTTTTTTTTCTGGTGTCGTTGGCTGGTGGTGCTACGTGTGTGCCGACATAACTGACGGACTGACTGCTGGCTGTTGTTTGTCGAGATTTTGATTTATGCCTGTCTTAAATGTTTAAGAAAGACAAAATTTATTTTTTACTGCATTTTAATGCGCTGAAATCTATAGGCATTTATATTGCTCGCTTTTACTTACCAAACGGCACTGCCATTCCACATCTACACATGTGTCACTTTTGTTTTGGCGTTCGTTTTTCCACCAAGTTTTTTGTTGTTGTTATTGCTATTGTGGTGTCTGGCAGGCGAAGTGAGTTTTTGCCTTTTAAGTTTTTTTCTTTTCGTTTTTTAGTTTATGTGATCCCCAATACCAAACATCAAATGTGGAAAAAATAGAGGGGAGACAACAATTCGTATTCGGTTACGGAAAATTTCAATTGAAAGGCGTGAAATTGTCACACATCATCAGCTTGTTTTTTATCTAGAAGTCTTTTTTTATAAAAAGTGGGGATACAGTGTTATTTTAAAACGTTTTAAATACTTTTTTTATTATTCAGAAATTTTAAAGTCCCCAGAACGTGTTTATGCTTGCCAGAAACGAAAATGTTTATCACTAAGGCGATTATTCAAATTTTCCAATAACTATTTTCAATGGCACGAGTTTTATGGTTTTTTAAATCTTAATATTTATTTGAAAATTAATGAAATACAATTTTGGAAAGGTGTAAGATTACACGGGAGTTCTGTTTAAGGGTGGTGTTCGATGGGAAATAATCGTGAATAATCTTATATCTTGGTTGTTTTTTTATGCCAGCCATCAATTATAGTTGTTGGTAGACAATGTCCCAATGGAACACTTAAGTTTAGAATATTAATAGCCCGCTATCATTTGGTTTGACATTATCTACCCTGTTTGTTTCCCTGCTTTAGGGCGTCCCCTTTTTCCATTTTGATATGATAATTCCCAAAGTGTTTGGGTATACGGGTTGGTTCATTTTGAAGGGATTAAAGGGACGTGCTTAAGGTGATCTATGTCTGCAAAGGTGTTTTTTGTGTAGTTTGTAGAAATTGAAGAAAATCAGGGCGTTACATATGGAAACTCTTGTGAAAAATTGAATTTATTGTTGGGCTGCATTTTTTAATATTAAAGGTGCTATGCAAATGCCGTCTTGTTAAAACTATCTCAGATACAAAGCCATTATAAAATGTATGTTCAATAAAATTTAATCAGGCGGAATTTAGCATATTTACAAAAACAAAAATATAATTTTGGGATATGGTATTTTGTTAAGGAAATAAATGTCTGGCAGGGTGTTACCTTAGGAACTAAGGCAAAATGTTTAAGGCAATTTCTATTCGTTTTTTAACGGATAGAAACATAACACAACTTCCATCTGATGAAAAAGGTGGCGGTCTAATAAAACACAATTTAAAAAATTGATGGATAAATTATTTTCAAGCAATGAATTGGTGAATTACGTCTGTGCAGATTTTAATATAGACAGATTTTTTGACATATCTTCTATATGAATGTTCCAACTCATTTTCGATATCTTGAAGGTTTTAGCCTCATTCTCATCAAAGTTACTAAATTTTGTTATTTAGGATTCTTTGGAGGTCGAATCATCTTTGCAGAATATCTGCAGTATGAATCCATTTGTTATGAAAGCCTCCTGACTAAATTTAGCTGGGCATTTTGCCAAATTTTTAATGGACACCACCGGTAGAACTTAAGGGCATTTTTGCTTCAAATTAATATTTTTTGCAACTTTTAAGAGATTTTTTAGTGTCATACAAATTTTACAAATTTTCAAAATATTGACCAAGAAGGAGTGGACCGATATTCTTCGAAATTGATTGAGAAATATTAAGATGTTCAAAGTTTGAATGAAATCGGTTACTCCCTTTGTGAATTAGCATGCGCATCAGCAGGAAGGTAGACAGACACCTCCAAAATACCTGAAACGCCCATAGAAACTTGGAGCCTAAAAACAAAATGCCGATGAGGCTCATATTTATCGTAGAAATGTATATATACCCCCAGTAGTAGGCTGGTGGCATAATATAACTCAACTCATAAAATAGATCTAGAAACAATGGAAAAAATGTGATATCCCTAGACTAATTCGAATTTTTGAAGATTCTTAAGTTTTATTTTAAATATCTATAAACGATATATTTATGTGTTCCTAATATACACCCACATAATATTTTCGAAAATGTGAAAAAAGTAATAAAAAATTACATCTAATTACAATATCTTCTTCATTTTATCCTATTTTATTTTATAGTCCCCAAAAATACTTTATTTCTTAACTTAAACTTAAAATTTAAGTTCCCACTATAACATAGACAATTTTAATATTCCAAAAAGCATTTTAAATCGCACCTTCCTCCCTCCAGAACTTTTTTTTCAATATGCCATATTTAAATACAATTTTATTTGAGGCGGCCACTGTTCCTGTAATGAAATTGGCAAATAAAGGCAAAAACAACAATAACACCAAACTATAGGCAAAAGAACATCTAAAACAAACATTAACAACAAATGTTATTCTTGAAACCCTTACCAAAAACAAGACAAAAAACGAAACGATATGAACATCTTTCCTGCTTTTTAAAACAAGACATCGCCACGTTAATTTTGTTTTTGATGCTCCCTTTAATTTCGTACGTTTTCGACGTTGTCTTCTTTTCATTTTTTGTGTCTTCTTATTTTTTTTTTTTTTGAAATTTCAACTCACTTATATTTAATGTGTTTTTCCCTGGTCTCTTTTTTCCTTCTTTTAGAATTCAAAGCACGCCAACACATCTTCATCAGCCGTCCAAGTAGCAACATCAGCGGCAATGATGGCGACAGCAACACAAATGAGGGCGACGTTAATATATTTAGCGCCTTTTTTGCATCCGTGCAAGAATGTTGTTCCTGGAACAACTACAGCAACAACAACATCTTCACAGCAGCAGCACCAGCCGCACTTGCCCCTCGAATGGAATGGGGAACAAGATGGGGAAATTTCACAAAAGACACATGTGGCCCGTGTTAGTGCCACAACGACGACGTCGTTGTCCGCCAGCCGCTCTAGCATGGCAAGACGTGGTGGTGTTGGCACTGCCACTTGTAATGGCAACCGGAATGTTACGACAATGAGCTGCAGTGGCACACAAGCGCTGCTACATCCAGGCGGCACCAACAACAATAATAATCATTATAATAATGCCATAAATTGTAATAGCACCGTCATCAATGCCAGTACAGGCGGCGTCAGACACGGCAGCAGTAACAGCAACGACATCGGTGGCACTAGTAGTGGTAATAGTAGCTCCATAAGAAGCAGCTGTTGTCATCATAATACTGGCGCAGACGAACGTCAGGATTTAGACATGGCAATGTTGCAGTGGCCGGAATCGTCGTTGGAGAACCTGAAAAAGACGAAGGATAACGCAAAATGTTATGAACAAAATTATGAAATGCCTGCCTTAGAGACCACAACAACGATGTTTGCTAGTGCTAATAATAAAATAAGACACCAAAAACAAGAACAACAACAACAGACAGAAGAAAAAGAACAGAAGCACGAAGGAGAAGGGTGCCTGCTTGCAAGAGTGGTGGAGGAAAACCCCAAGAAAACAGCCGACAACCCATCATTATCTGCTTCAACCTCCATAAGTAGCGGCCGCAGCAACACCACGCTCACGTCTAACATGTCTGGTATGGTTCCTTCTACGAAATCCTCTCTTCAAATCCAACAGGATACAACAAAAACAGCAACCTCATTTGTAAACTATACGAATAGCCGTAGTACAAAATATTTACGAGAACGTGGTCGCAGACACCAACAGCAGCAGCAACAACAACAACAACTGCAACAAGGACATGATTCAACATTAGGTCTAGCTCCTGTAGGACAACCACTTAAGAAACATGAAGAATTTCAGTTACAGCAACAACAACACGAACAACGAAGAAAATCGCCGTGTGGTCTTCATGGCCATGCAGATCCTAGCTCACAAACCACCACACACCCGGCTGCTGTTGTTATTGATAATCATAATACAGCAAAATGTTGTAATAATAACCAAATGGCCAACACGTCACTGTTGTCAAGATGTCATTGCTTAAATAATATGCTTAGCAATGGCCCAGCAGCCGGGCATTCCCCAGCGAGCCAGGAGCCCAACACCGATGTCCAAGAAGATGGTCATCATGATTTAATATTAAGAAATTCATTGGAAGCCTGTAACAGCAATGCCATAGGAAATGAAATATTTGATACCCTCAACGACAATGTATTCTCCACGCCACCACCAGCTCCCTCATCGCCAATGTCATCATCCTTCTCACCCTCATCGTCATCAGCTTCAATTTCAACTGCAACTTCGTATACAACGATATTAAATAAGGAATGTAGGTGCTTTAATAAAAATAAACGTGATATTATTATTGGCAGCGAAAACCCAGCAATGGCGTCAACATTACCAGCAACAGCAACAATAAAAGCAGCAGCTGCCATTTTTTTATCTCCAGCCTCCAGTTTGGAGAGTTGTTGCATTATTAACTCAAATGCCGACAGTAGCAACAACAGCATCAGCAATGCATTATCCATGCAACATAGTTTAGATTTATCGACTACAACATCATCAACTTTATCATCGGCATCTATGGAGTCATCATCGACAACTTCGTCGTCGTCGTCCTCCTACTCATCATCATTCTTAGCCACGACATCATCGTCGTCACTGTGTTCGGAGATGATGCCATGCTCGCGGTGGAGGTGGTGGTTAGTTGCATTATTTGGCTGTTCCAACTTAACCAAAACGGTTACGGTTTCAAAGTGGTTGTTTATGTGGCTGTTATTTGTTGTTCTATCATCGTCAGCTCATTGTTGGGCGGGTCGAAATGATGGTAAGTCGATTTATTCTTATAAATTGTTAATATAAGTATTTACATAAATTATATGAGATTATTAGGAAGAGTTACATAACTTATTATTTAACTCATTTATAATGGAATAGTCATAGATTGCCAATTGCATTGGATTTTAGTAAAATGGGTTGTAAAGTACTTGTGCCCTGGATCCTGAAGAAGAATATCGTTTGGAATGCTTATCTGAATCATATCAGAGAATAATTTCGCTGTATTTTTCTAACGGAAAAATTCTCAAATGAAAACTGGAATAAAGTGTTCTCTTAATGTATAGAACAAGTATTGGACATGTTTCCTGTATTTCAGAATGCTGGAATTCCAATTGTTTAGATCGATTAAAGTTTTGGCATAACGCTCATATAACCCTAGAAGCTTTGTACAACTCATGGGCCTTAAATTTAGCATTGAGGTTCTCAATGGTTGTATTCGTATTTTCTCTACAAAAAAACATTTTCAGTATAGGTCCATTTTTTACATTGTTTCCTTCATTTGTTGATCATAGTCACCCAAGTGGCTGCATATCAGTCTTTCAAAGTGTAAAAAAAAACTCTTCCTAGATCATAGGTCCTGACACAAATTTATAAGTCCATATAAAAGTCCCGTTCAATTTTCGGTATTTTGGGAGCGACATTTTCCAACCGAAAAGGCTCTAATTTTGGAGGCTGAATGGCAATGTTTTGACATAGTCTCCATATAAATGTACAATTCAATTTTTGGTATTTAGCATCCTAATTTGGCTTTCCAGGTTCTATTCTATTCAGGTCCATGTTTGTAAATACAAACAGAGGTCCCGCCTAATTGTTTTTCTTATGTTAAGGTTCCTATTCTAATTTTCTTACCTCATTGTCTGAAACCCTGCTATGGACATAAATAGGATGTGATGGAGGATTCAACATAATCCATCGAAGGAACAGGTCATAAATATTAGAAAAATTGTACCCCTTCTTCAACAAATTACATTTCTCATCACTACTTTGTTAAACTCTTTGCACAAATATCCCAAATCATGGCCTCAGATCTTTCCCTAGTACAATGATTTTCGTTATCCTATTTTGTAACCCAAAAATTACAATGTTGTAATTTTATTAACGTATACAATGCTCCAGAATTTATATATTGTGGTTCTCCGTCATATCGGTGTTTAGATAATTCCTCATAGACTATTTTTTAATACTTGAAAATACTTTGGCTTTTATTTCCCATATTTCTTCCATTGCAAAAGACTTTTTAAAATAAAACGAGAATTTTTCCCTATAAATATACCTTTCCATAATGAATGAATTGTACAATTAAAATATATATTATATTTTATTATGGACTATAACAAAATTTGGACAATGGACCAGCATTTTGAGACATTAAATATTTATTGGTTTTACAATAAGTCCCTGTAGTAAATCACAATTAAGTTTTATTTTTATTCTTGCTACCGTTCAAATGAATGACACTTATTTTTATTTTACATTGGACAGACAGACATCCATTGAATATTCTAAAATCTCTTTCCCAAACTGAAAAAAAGAGAAAGGTCAACCATAATTCGTCTTTGTGTTTTCTTGTCCTACTGGAATTACGGTTATTTTAATAGACAATGGGTACTCCAAATCACAACGGTTGACTGACTGCCTGCCAGCCAGCCTGCCTGCATATTTTTTAAGGCGGTGACAAAAACAAATAAACCAAAACGGACAATGAATAATCTGGGAAACACACAGAAAAAAAAAAACACAAAATAAAATTGTTGATTCAGCTATTATTGAGATTTGTGGCATTTTAATTTAATTTAAATTCTTTTGTTTGTTTATTTAGTGTCGCCATTCTTTGGGAATGTCTAACTTGACCACCAAAGCTGCAAACGTAACGCCCCTCCCCCCTGCAAGGAAAACGAACGAAAACATACAATTGACCTTCAAGTATTTGATTTCTAAACACAGGAAAATTTAAACCCTCAATTTTCTCTGCTGCAACAACAACAAAGAGTCACATTGTTGTGAAGTATTTGAAAAAAAAAACGTATAGAACTGAACAGAAACTGTAACATAATTCCTTCCTTGCATAGGGTGTTGTTTAGTGGCTTGCTGGCTAGCTCCGCTTTAGTTAGTTATTCACTAAAATAAAAATTACGACCGGAAACGTTGACGAAAAAAGCAATAAAAAGTAAATTTAAATATCAGTTCTGTTTTATTTGTTTCTAGTTGTTTTTTTTCAGTTTTGTTCACTGTTCGTTTTTTCTGTTTCTTATGGTTTCCTCCGTTTTGCAGTTGATGGGCTTGGCAATTATTATTTTTTGTTTTTTTTTCTAGCTGGTGTGTAACATTTTGTGTTGTAAAAAATAGGCTTTTTCATTTATGCTTTAATTAAAAGTGGAGGGTGGCCGCGATCACACAGGCCCATTAACGTTTTTTTGTATTCATTTTTCTTTCTTGTTGTTGTCGTCAAAATGCACTGTGGTTGCCATGGGGATTTTGGAAATAGTCCCCGATGAATTTGAAATAGGATATGTGTTATTTAGAATTATGCATTATGTCGATCGAACATATTTATTACTTCCTATTCTTGAGCTCGAAAAGGAAAAACTTTTTGGAAGGAGACCAAATATTTTAGTGTTAGTGTTTTATGCCATCCACCATAAGGTTGAGTGTATATTAAATTTGCCATTCCATTTGCAACACCTCGAAATATTCACCGGAGACCCCTTAAAGAATATAGATTCTTGATTAGAATATAATTCTATGTCGATTTATGCGTATACGTCCGTCTGCCGAACTTTATCATCTGAAAATCCGAAATTTCTAATCATAGCTAAAACGCTTGAAAACTTGGCTTAGGACTATAAAAGTAGGACATATCAAATTGCAGCCTCTTTGGTAGCAAAATTCGCCTAGGACAATAAAAATATTTGAAATGGAGCTGAACTTTAATATAGGGTCTTATATGTTGAGTCATCAACGTACAGCAACATCGTTTGGAAAATGAAGATAGCTTCATAAAAATATTGCTAAGCGGAGCCTTTATGACAAGGACCTATATTAAAATGTTTATATGCGGACATTTTACCCATTAAGAACCCGACATGCCAAATTATAATCACTTATATGCCAAGAGGTCTTTTAACAAAATGTAAAGTTATGAGGGTTTGTTAACGGGATTAGAGACGGCACATCTATGACTCCGGTATGAACTAGGATCTTTGAAACATTTTGATGACGCCCAAGAGCCTATGCAACTGTTAGTACGACTGCCATCCCTGAGACAATACTTGACTTACAATTTTATTGTCCATTGTCACTGAATATTTTCATATTCCGAATTTTCATTGGAATATGCATCAATATTCAAAACTATCTACAAAAAACACCCCTGGGAATATATATACTTCTTCCTCTGAACTTCGTTAATCTCATAATTATCGATATTTTTCCTTCATTTGCAACCACTGTCCGTGTGATAGGATTCAAAGATATGTGTGAATATTTACGAGCAAAGAAAAAAAGGTGGTATGTCCGTCTGTTTGTTTGGATGGACGGACTGATGGTTAGTTGGTTGGTTTGGTGTTGTGTTCTTAGGGTAAATAGGACCAACACCACCTATTAAATGTTCCAACACACGCAATCACTTATGTGCGAATGTGCCAACACACACTCGCACACATATGTGAATTAGCATACACATCATCAACTATGAATGAAACAAACAAACTAACCAACAATCGTCATCGACATATTCACTACAATGTATGTAGGTATGTACGTATGCATGAATTTCTATTAGTGTCGATTGTGTTGTTGTTGTCGTTGATTTTTTATTGGATTTTTATTACATTATGAGGGCAACATCAACATCAAGCGTATGTTTCCATTTTTCCGCAACGTTACGTCTCAATGATACGACGACGACGATGATGATGGTGGCGATGACATTTGTTGTACCTCCTGCCATCGAACAGCAGCAGCCAACCGAACTATGTTGTACGTACGAGTATCTTAAGTGTTGAAGTGTGCAATGTTCGCCTCGGCGGTTTGTGTGTTCGAGTGTGTGGCGAGAAAACAATAACTTTTAATAAGTTGCTGTTATTGGTTCATTAAGGAACCATGTATTGTTGTTTGCCTGAATGCTTGTCCAGATGTTAAGGGCATAACCCTCCATGTGTACAATTCTCCTCAAATCACTAGCAAATGCAAATCACCAAGCAACCAACCAAAAGCAGTATGGGCATGTACGTATGCTCTTAAGGATTCTCTTAGTAGTTAGTTGATGGCCGGGGGTATGTCGGGATGCCCCGATCATGTTCATGTCTTCAGTTCGTATAGTCATAAATTATTTAATTTAGTGTGATGTCATTATTTAAATTTTGTTTTTTGTTGTTTTCGTTTTCTGCCCATTCGGCTACCTACTTCCCTTAACATAATTAACGGTAAGGGAGCAACACGGATAAATGCCATACAATGGCAACTGATGGCAAGCAAACAAGGAGGACAGGCTTATTGAAAATGGGTGCCTGCTTTGCATGTGGCCATGAGAACTACAACAAAAGAAGCCCACAAATTAAAGTCGGTCAAAAGCCTAGCTGGCCATGTGCTGTTTGTTTGCCAGTCGAGGGTCTGTTGCTACTTTAGTGGGGTGGTGGCGGCACATATTCTCATTCACATTTGCCCCTCTCCCCCAGCATACATACATTCACATACAGATATGGGCAACATAAATTACTTTCATTCTTAATTACTTACAGTGGTGACAATTTAAATAGGACATGTGCGAATATCCCCAACCCCCCTGCATTTGCTTTCATTTCAGAGATTGGCCGGGCAAATGACGCCCCCCTCGCACCATTCGACGGTCAGTCATCTCATTCATTTTACTCAGTCATTTATTCACCTATTCACTTTTGATACAAAACCGAACATGAGCATTGTTGGCTTCATTCCCACTATTGTATGGCCAACCAGCCAGCATCAGCTCTTCTTAATGGAAATTGTAAATATATGAGCAAACAGACAGACAGACAGACCAACCAACCAACCGACAGACAGTCGAACAACGGCATATCTTGCTGCAAATCTCTGTGGAGAATGAATGTTGTTCATTCCATTTGCCATTTTCCATTTCTTCTTCATTATATAAATGTCCATTATTGAAACCCACATAGCCATTGACCACAGTGTTTTTAAATCCTGGTCTGAGGTTAAACGATAAACCAGAAATCATACTGCTGGATGACGTTATCCTTGGACAATTGTCTTTACGTTTGTTAGCTGGAGAGAGAGGCAAAAATACTCACACTCACAAATGCGAATACTCTGATACTCTGGCAGGTAGGACATTTTGAAAGTTATGGCACTGCGATTGTCATCGGGATTTTTTTGGTTTCAAAAAAGATAACACGTGAAAGAAACAGTATTTTTTTGCATATGGTTTGTGTTGTGATGTATGTATGTGTGTGTCTGTTTGAGATTATTGAGAAATATGTATCTTGAAGTTTTTAAGTGAAAACTTAAAATGTTTTCTGTTAAATGTGTCAGTAGAGGTAATTCTTTTTTTGCAAAATATTTTTGTAATACCTTAATAAATGTGTCAGTGGTAAAAACATGTCTTCGATTTTTTCATTTTAAATTCTAAATATTTTTATGTCAAAGTACAAAATTAAATAAAATAGGCATGGATTTGTTTGAGGAAATTATGACTTATTTTCCATTCTCCATAAAAATTAAGTAAAATTATATTTGCGAACGTGCGATTCGGTGGCACCATTGGGCAAACATGGTTATTTTATGGTAGGGCCTATGTCGTGGATTTTTTAAATAATTTTATAGCCTCTTGGTAGGGCCTAAGGCGTGGATTTTTAAAACAATTTTTATAGCCTCTTAGTAGGGAATAAGGCGTGGATTTTTTAAACAATTTGTATAGCCTTTTCATAGGGCCTAAGGCGTGGATTTTTTAAAGAATTCGTATAGCCTTTTCATAGGCCCTAAGGCGTGGATTTTTAAAACAATTTGTATAGCCTTTTCATAGGGCCTAAGGCGTGGATTTTTTAAACGATTTGTATAGCCTTTTCATAGGGCCTAAGGCGTGGATTTTTTAAACAATTTGTATAACCTTTTATTAATTTTAATTGTAATTTTTTTCTTTTACCTTCTTACAGTGCCCACAAATTGTACATTTCCTGCCCGCTGGGAGGGCTCATGGTTCCTATCGGGCTATCAACAATCCATACACATTAAAGGTTCCCAATTTAGTTATCGTGGTCGATGTGCAGCTTCGGATGGTAACAAATATTTAATAGTTGACGAGTAAGTGATTACCAATTACTTTTTTCTCATATACATTTTTGAAATATCAAAACAATAACACAATATTATCATATTCAAACCATAATAAAGAACTTTTCTTTATGAAATTTATATGGAAATCATATTCACCGAAATAATTCCAATAAACCAACCAGAAAACAAAAACTAACTCAATGGAATTTGAAAACGTTACTAAACAAAACACTTCACCCAATCAATAGTTTCCAATATAACAATATTTCATCTCTATTACTTTTACTAATTATTTTTTTGTTTTTGATTGAACAAATTCGGAAGAAAATGATTAAAATTTATTATTATTGTTGTTATGAGTAATTTTTATGATTAGAAATATTCAAAAAATAACTTTCTCTGCTCTATTTTAGTAATTCTTTTTTTATATTTGAAACATATTTTATTTATTTTTATTATTAAGTTGAACCATTCGTTTGTTATACCCATTTGTGGTGTTCTAATTTTTTTTTCCGAAAAAGTCTTTTTTTCACATGAAAAACATTTACAATACACAAATATGTTATATAAGCATTACAACTAGCTTTATAAATATTTAATTTTTTAATATTTTTGATAAGAGTCTCCCACAAAACAAAATCCTCCACCTAACAAACCTATCCATCCATCCAACCGCCCATGTGTATTGTATGTATCGTATGTATGTTTGTACTATTACAAAGCAAAAAATATATATTTAAACAAAAACCCTCAAATATGAAATATTAAACTAGGCTATTCAAATGTTTTACGTTTAAACCATCATCAAATCAAATACGACCAACAACAAATACAACTCATGAAAATTCATAATGAAAATTTTGGCCAACGAAAAAAATAGTACAGTACAGAAAAAACTGTAGATATCTTAAAAAAATTATACAACGAGTCATTCGTGCAGAAACCCAAAAAAAAGGTAAAAAAAATATAAAGAGAGACCAACTAAAAAAACTGAAAATCATTCAAAGTCGAACATAAAACATTTCAATGCTTCGATGCTCAACGAAATCATGAAGCAAAGGAAATGAAACAAAGAAAAGAAAAACGACTTGGTTGGTAGTTTTTGTTGGCGTTGTTGTTGAAAACGAAACGATACGACATAAAATGAGGTAAGCTATAAAATCGCTTCAATACTACTGCCTGGCAGCTACTTGCCCGAACTATGATGACGTTACATAGCCAAACAACTAAAAAATAGAGCTTGAGGTTTGGCTCTAGTTCCTAGCTGCCACTATCACTACCAGTATCACCACTACTACTACGACGACTTCAATACAAGGTGTAATGAATTGAAATGGACACGAAATTCTCTTGGGTGTTATTCCATCCGAACAAACAAGACACAGAGGAAGAACTACTAGCAGTACTACTGCTCCAACATGAAACAGAACCCACGACGATAACAATAGCAACAACAAGAACTAAAATGAAAAGGAAGTTGAGAAAAACGTAACGAACGAAACTCATTTCAGTTTTTTGTTGTTGTTGCTGTTGTATTTGTTATGGCAATGTTTGATGGTTCTTCCTCTTACCTATGTGATGTAGAATTGTTTAACATGCACTCCATTTTGTTTTTGTTGCTGTTGAGAAGCAGTAGGTTGGTGTGAGGATATCACCTCCCAAGTCATCATCCAACCAGAGCAATATCAACATCAATAGATGACGGCAATATACACAGATACTAAATATGTTTGAAAACAAAAAATACACAAATGAACTAAACACTGCATACAATTACATTACCTTAGGATGTAACGACAAAAATGGCTCTTCGAATAAAAAAAAATCAATATTTTTCTTGAAAATTTGGTAATATAAATTATATCATGTCCCTAATCTAATATACAGCCCCTCCAAAATATAAATACCAAAAAAGTGTTTATAAATATCATCGTCAAAATTGCCTAAGGACAACAGCTATGGTTTATCTGTATGACAAGAAAAATATAATAAACCCTAAATAGTTGCATACATGTGTACATACACGAATATGACCAACTATTTTTTTCCAAACAAAAACTATTTAATTACGTTCTGTTTTGAACATTAGAATATCATATACACGCACACAAAGGATTTGCATACGTACACACATATGAACATATCACATTGAAATAGAAATTAATATGAAAATGTCATAACATTACATAATTATATGAAAAATAATAAGCAATGGAAATTTTGTAGGAGAACATTACCACAATTATTATTGTTTCGAAAGGGAAATAATTACGAGTGACATTTTAGAATAAGAAAAGTTTTCATTATATGAAAATTATCACAAGTGGTATTTCTGTGTGCAAAATTTATCGCCAGTGATATTTTTACTGTGGAAATTATCGCAAGAGGTGTTTTTCAATGATAAAATTATATACAAAATTATTTTGGCAAATTATTAACAGTGATATTTTATATGTGAAAATTATCAGCAGAATTAGATTATTATTTGAGTGATGTTATATAAATATATAGAAATATCACCAGTGGTATTTTATTATAGGTTTCCTGCAGTAATATTTTATTCTATAACAATAACAATTATCATCAATAATAAATAATTCCTATGAAAAAATTAAAACCTGTGATATTTTCGAATCACAGATTTGTCACCAGTTAGCAATTTCTTGAGAAAATTATCACCAATAATATTTTTCTATTCCAAGTGGTTTTCAGTAATACTGCTTTATAGAAAAAATGTCATCAGTGATATTTTCTGTGTAAAAACCATACTACCAGTGATATATTTTCGTATAAAAATACCATTGATATACATTTTTTATTTAATTCACGATAGTGATTTTTCGCTGAAGAAACATTATTACCAGTAATATTTCTGTATAGAAAGAAATATATCACCAGTATTATACAAATATATGAGTGATATTTGGTGATTATGAAAAATTACTGGCAATATTTTTTCCATGCAAAAAACCAGTGATATATTCTTTATAGAAAATTATTATCAATGAATCTTATTATCTGTTGATCTGAATTATTATCTGTTGATGTTATTCACATTTTGTGTCATTATTTCCCACTAGATGTCGTTGTACAAGGAGGACAGAAATATACTCCATACAATTTTAGTTTAAGTCACTGAACAAAAAAACAAAAATCGATGTATATATATAATATGTGTACCGAATATATAAACATCAATTTAGGACAAAAAATTAAAAAAAAATATTAATTTTGTTCATAAAAATTTCCCAGTACTTTTTTTTTAACAAATTGTATGTAAGTAACATGAAACTTTATTTTTCTTGCATAGTGTCAAAAAATGACTCCCTATCATTTTGACTGTGATTCCTTGAACACCTTCTATTATACATATGTCACTGGTGATAGTTTTCTTAAATTCAATTTTTGCTCATATTTATTGTTTATTACAATTTAAATATAGTATATGCAATTTTCCTATTTTCCATTACTGCTAAATGTATGTTGCATTACAAAAACAAAAATTTAATTTCGGTTTCATGTCGTTCAACCTTAATCGGAACTACACAATTTGAAGTAGAAATGTTTTTTTTCGTTCACCAGAATTCATTTCCTTTATGCAAGTCGACGACTCTTATATGGAGTTTTATTTTAGCGTTTTTTTTCTCTTGTGTTCATCTACTTTATTTCAATTCGTTTTAATTTTAATGATGATGACTCTTTAATACCTTCTAACAACAACATGACACACACATACACTAAAAACACTACAAACAACTATGGAAGTTTGTAATCTTAATGATGAAGGTGTATGACCACATTCATTCATAATGAAATATGTGTATGAGTGTGTGTGTGGAATCCTTTGGCAAGGGTGTGTGTATTTGATATTTTATTTTTTATACATTATATTTGCATTTAATAACATTTCATCATCAAGCATGATGATGATGATTATTATCAAAGTCATATGAGTGATATATATGTACATATGTATGTAAGTTTGTTTGTCTCAGTATATTTGTATAAAATTAATTCAGCAAACTGCGAATAATTTCGTTTTTCGAAAGAACGAAAAAAAAGAAACGAGAACGGCAAATTATGAACGTAACAGAAACGTTTTCACATTAACCTGCAAAACATGTAAAAGAAGAAGCAGAAGACGATGAAGCGATTCTTGAAACGTTTGCGTGTTTCGAAGTGCTTACCTATCTACAAATTAAGTACCCAACATCAACCAACCAACCTACCCATAGTCTGACGAGCACTAAAATGAACCCCCCCTCAAAAGAAATACATATTTAATTTTCCATCTTTGTTTTTGTATTACTTTTACCATGGTCGTCTTTACATATTTTCATTTTTTGGCTTGGTCGGCCACTCGCTTACAGAGTAGAGTAGTTGGCTTGGCCAAAGAAAGAAGAGAAAACTCCAAGCCTTCATTTTTCGTTTTATTTTCATATTTGTGTTCATTCTTTCAATGATTTTGATGAATTACTTGATGGTAATTAAGCAAATAACATAAACTACTTATACATATATACTATAAAGTGTACGTATGTACACTTTATTCATTTTGATTTTTTCATTTTTACATAAAAGCTTTAAATTTTCTTTTTATTGAAAAAAAATTAAATTATACAATTTTATGAATTCTAGTATTAAAAACAAAAACAATGATTTTTCTGATCACCTCCCATTATCTTATGGAAATGTTTAGTTTTCATTTAAAAAATTTTTTTAGTTTGATTTTCTTTAAAACAAAACAAAACAAGAATGAATGTGCTTATATACTTTTGAGTTGATCCCCCGTCTTTTATCTCTTTTTCTACATTTTTAAATCTCTCTCTTTTTTATGAAAACTTTTTAAGCTTCTTCTCCCGTAAAATACCGTGTTCTTTAGAATTATTGTTATTATTATTATTTTATGGTTTCGAAACTTTGAGAACAAACAAATATGAGTATGAATTTTTATTATTATTTGTAGCTGAAATGTGTTTTTCTGTTTGAAAATAAAAAAACAAAAAAATCTAAAAAAAATCCAATTAAATATACGATTATCTCTATTTATTCTAATACATATTGAATTTCTTTCAATGTTTCTTATTTGTTGTAAAGTTAAATAATAAATTCTAAGTTATTATTACAACAGAATATGAACCTAAAAAACACATTAATTTTTGTTTTTTAATACTTTAACAATATTCATGTTGTTTAGTTTTTATTACATTTTGTATTATTTACTGTTAGAATTACAGTAAACATATTTGTTTTGTTGGAAGTATTTTATTATTAAGTTGATGGCTTTAAACGAATTTTACTTTTAAATATTTAATTAAATATTTCTTTTATTTAAATTTAATATTAGGCGCAAGAACTACTTCATTCATTTAGCCAATAAAGGGTAAAAGAGAAAGGCATTGTGACACTGCAATGGGAAATATTTCATTAATTCGTTATAAGAAATATTACTAGTGATGTGTTCATATAGAGAAATCTATCTACAATATTCTATGATGTATAAAAAGTATCACCAACAACATTATTCGGTATAAAAATAAGTACATATATATAAAAATACCTGTCTGTATTAAAAAATAAATTATCAGTGATATTTTTCTGTATTGTAAAAATACCACCAGTGATAATTTTCTATATATTGAAAATTTCACCAGCGATATTTTTCTATGTATTAATATTATCTTTATGACAAAATATCACCGATGATATTTTTCTATAATGGAAAATTTTTCTATGACTGATGTTATTTTTTATAAGGAAATATCAGTGATGGTATTTTTCAATTTAAAAATAGCTGTGGTGATATTTTTATATATAAAAATTATATCATTCATGACATTTTTTTCTCTACGAAACAATATTATTCATGACATTTTTTCTATATGAAACAGTATCACTCATGATATTTTCTCTATAAAAAATATATCACTCGTCTTAATTTTTTCTATATGAATATGAATTATATATGAATTAATATTTTTCTGTATTGCAAAAATATCACTGGTGATATTTTTCTATATACAGATGTATATTGCTGGTTATAGTTTTGCAGTACAGAAAAATATCACTGGTGATATTTTTGCAATACAGAAAAATGTTTATTCATATAGAAAAAATATCACGAGTGATATATTTGTTTATGGAATAAATACCATAAGTGATATTGTTTCATGTAGAAAAAATGTCATGAGTAATATTATTTAGGAGAGAAAAATGTCATGAGTGATATATTTTTGTATAAAAACAAACATCACAACTATTTTATATAGAAAAATATCATTAGTGAAATTTTTTCATATAAAAAATATACCATCAGTAATATTTCCATATAAAAAATAACATCAGTGATATTTTCCCTTATAGAAAAATATTATCGGTGATATTTTGTCATAAAGATAATATAAATAATATTTTTTTAAAACAAATTAAATTATAATGAAATATTTTACTATACCATGCCTTTTCTCTTAGTTACAAATATAACTCATCATTTTCATCCGAATCAATAGAAATGCCCTTTTAAAAAAATTTCAAGACTATTTTTACTAACCCTTTCGCCCGCCAAACCTAATGCGATAGAAAAAAAACTAACATTAAAATTACAAAACAAAAACCCAAATAACTGTTATATTTTCTATTTTATTAAAAAAAAAATAACAACTAAAAATATTATTTTCTTATCTATCATTTCTTTTTAAAATACATATTTTTTTCTTAAACAACTACCTTAAAAATTATTTTTAAACCAAAAAAATATATTTTTTTTGTGTCATATCTCGTAAAAAATATTTAAAAAAAAAACACCCCCGGAAATGAAACACATTTTTTTAAAACCCTACAATTGTGACTATATATTACAATATTCTAGGAAAGGATGTCATCGGTGCCTGGTCATATACGAGAAACATAAAAATGTTCTGCAGTATAAAGAAAGTGAGTGCGAAGGTGATAGTATGTATATGCATCAAACAAATCCATCAGCCATGGCGATGCGTAGCGTTTTAAATCAAAAGCCCAGCTTGGGCAATGGTGGTGATCATAGGGGGGGAGCTCATCCCAATTTGAACGGGCATTCAAGACTATCCTCATCGGATCAATATATAATGCGATCCAATGATGATATGAATGATTGTAAGCATTTTTTGTGTTTTTTCTATTCCTTCTAAACTAAAATTATTCTAAAAAAAAACTTAAAAAGTATACAAAAAACGTAACTGTTATTCGATTATTGTAATTATTATCGTTATTTTATTTTTATTAGTTATTTATTTAACGTACAAAAGAAATTTAAAAAAAAAATCAATACCCAAAGAAAAATAACCCAAAATTCCATTTAAAACAAAAAAATGAAATTATTTGTCTATTTTGAGTTATTTGACTTTGGTTAGGTTAAGTTCGTTTTTCGATTAGAATCCTGTTTGTTTTTTATTCATTACAATAATTTCTGTTAAGTTTTCGTTTTTTTCTTCTTTCTAATTAAAGATACTCATCAAAATGAAATACATAAGACACGTTGATTAGGCTGTTAATTGTCAAATAATTTTAATTTTCATTTCATTTTCTTTACATAAAATTTGACAACAACAAACACTTGTAAATTTATTTAATTCATGGTGTTTAATTTTGTTTTGTTTTTAATTTAAGATTGTTTTTCTTAAATTAATTTTCTTTATTCGTTCCTTCGTTCGATTTTTCTTTGGTTAATCCACAATCTTTGTAAATAGCTTTCTTCTCTTTCTCTCTTTAAAATCAATAAAACGGTTTTGTGAAACAATTACCAATTCGAAAATATACAACAAATGCCTATTTTTTGTATAATTTCGCATGTAAGGGTCCTCTTTCCTTGAGTTTGGAAATTGAACTATGAAATTCTAACCAACTTCTGGCCAAGGAAAACAAACCTTACGGAGATTTTATTATTTCCCAAGGGGTTTGAATTCAATTGAAGCTTTTACAAAAAAAAAAAAAGAATACAATTTGAAAATACCTGAACAAAAAACCAAAAAAGAAAACTGAAACGTATTAGCGGAATAGCAGATTAACCCGTCCCAACTTTTGTCATTTAAATTGTATGATTTTTGTTTTCTCTGTCAAACAAGTTAAGCAAAAAAGAAACCATAGAATTTCTTATACCACGTTTTTAGGACTTTAAACAAAGGTATAAATTTTCATTTTTTTAAACAAAAAATAACAAAAAAAACATTAAAAAACAAACTGTATAGTTTAGTTTTATTTGTTTTTGTTCTTTTTTAGTTACAATTTTATTTGTTAATTTCGTATACCCTTTTTGGTTGATTAACTGTAAATAATTAACGTTTTTTGTTTTGGTTTTTTCTGTAAATATTTATTAAAAAAAAAAACAAAAAAACTAAAACGAATTAACAAATAACAAAAAATTTGTTTGTTTCTCAACATATATTCTTTATATAAATATATCTATATAAATATTTTGTAAATTCTTTTCCATATAATATAAATATATTTAAAACCCCAAAAAAACAACAACATATATATTTTGCAAATTCTAAATTTTGGTATTTTTTTTTCGAATATTTTAAAGCAAACAAATTTACCTTTTCCTAATCTAATATTTTTTACTTAATTTTCATTTTCAAATATAAAAAAATAATGTTTTTCTGTTACAATTCTCTGAAATATTAGAGGAAATGTTGACGAATTAGTGAGGCTTGTAAAGCAAGCGTATGAGTTTTGTCTTACATTGCGTTACGTTACGTTCAAATCTAACTCATCTGTAAATAATCATCTAAAAGCACCTGATTTCTTTAAAAGACAAAAACAACTACAATTAATAGCAATTTTTAAGGCAAAGGTCCGATACAGAAAGTTGTAAAATTTTGAAGGGTTAGTTTTTTTTGGACAAAATGGTAACAAATGGGGTAAATGTCAAACTTTCCTCGTGTCTCTTTATCCTGAAAACTGACCTTTTCATTGGTGTAACTTGACTGTGCGTGACCTTTGAACATGAAAAAGGTTTTCAGTGACATTGAGAAATAATTTTCTAGCTAAAAATATATGTATGATATTTCCCATTTCCTTCGTTATTCCTTCTATTGGAAGCGACAATTATTATCATCTCTTGGTTATACAGAATTATAAATAATTTTGAAATATTTCAAGGTTTCACATTTTAAAACAGCATTTCAAGTTATATATGTATATAATGTTAGGATGACATTTTTTAAATATGTTGGAGTAAAAATTTCCTCCTCCGTTGTGATGTTTGGAACATAATTAGAATATACGTCATTTTGATTTATAAGGCCGAATAAAACAATGCAATAGTGTACATACACTATTTTAAATATGTTTGCTTGAGTACCAGATTCATCAGCTGTTTGATATGATCAGCTGACTTAAATGTTTAACAGAGATAGATAACTACATATAATTTCTTCCCTGGTAAAAAAGATTATTTTAGAGAAAAAATCTTTTGATTCATTTCAATGCATGCAATATGCAATTTTCTTGGATTTGAATCATTAATCTCATCTGAAATTATTTCAGTAAAACAGAGTGAAATTAAACATATCTTTAAAAGTTCTACCAGTTGTTATCTGCGATCAACTGATTAAGGTGATCAACAAAGAGCTGACAATCTATCGATAATCTAACGATTTGATTTCTTCAAAAACTGAAACGATAGTATTATCGCCTAAAAGTATACATCAAACTTCAGCAGTGTTGACACGTTGACGTGACAAGTAACGTTAAAAGCTGATTTGTTCTTATCTTGTTACAAATCGTATTTGAAGTCAAGTACAATTTAACTATACTTACGGCGGTGCGAAAATTTCAAATAGGTACCAAATTTTAAGCTAAATTTTAATGTCGAACAAGAAAAAATACAGAAGTGTCGTTTAAAATAGAATAAATTAAATCATCCGTCAGTCGTCACTAAAATAATTAATATGCCAAATATTTTGAAAATTTTCGATATCCAATATATAGCCCTCACGAATTTACATTGTTTTCCAAAAACTGCTGTTTTCCAAAAACTGCTGTTATAAATATACATGTGTATATACAAATAAAAATTATTTTGGTATACAACAAAAATTAAAATTAATGTTTTATTTTTATTTGTTCCATTTTTAGCAATGTTGTATTTTTACAATGATAAAGACTTTAAAAGTGGCAGCTGTCAAAATACCAAGAAATTCAAAATAATATCTCTTTACCATTTATTAAAAATGTTTTTCAATTTCCCCTTTACAAATTTTATATTGATGATTGTTTGCCAGTTCTAGTTCAACACATTTTGAATTCCACTGTTAAAATTCATAATTATCACCGCAACTCCAAAAGGGAATAAGAAGATACCAATGTAAAATATTTATAACAGTAAATTTACACCTTTGAAATATGTCATAAATTAGACTCATAACATTTATTACAACACACACTTGTTCACTCTCTCTCTCTCTCTCTGCCGTCGGATTTAATAAAATATATATATATTTTTTCTAGCTGGTAATGTTTGTTCCTCGATGTCACTGTAAAAAATAAAAAATATGAAAACCTTACGCCGTTTGTCAATTGGCATCTCCATAAATTATGCTGCTGGCCCCCACATATACACGGTGTTATTTATTGTAAATTATGTATATTTTTTTTTTGTTCTTTACTGGTTCAAAATAATATCTATATAAATATTTCATACATTCAGTCATTCGTTCGTTCGTCGTTGGTTTTTTTATTATTTTATTTTCATTCATATTTGGTTTTGTTTTCGGTCTTCTTGTGTTTATCTCTCTTTCCAGCGTTCATTTTTTGCGTTCATGTGTACAAAAACAAAAAATGTGAAAAATTCTCGCCAAACGAAATATTTATGATTCGTATATTATTATATATCGTTTTTTGTTATTGTTAATTTCATTGTGCACGCCTAAAGCCAATTTTTAATTAAAAATTGAAAGTTATCTCCCAGTGTTTTTCATAATTTTGTCATTTCATGCGTTGTTTCCGTTTTTTGCCCCCCGAACCTTTAACCATGAAAACCAACTGATTTATGTTTATATATTTATGACCTCCTACCAGCAACCATCCCTTCGCTCCACATATTTTTTTTTTTAATAAATTATTTTTCAACAACATATTATCGTATCTTTTTTCCGGCAGTTTTCATTTTTTTTCGTTTTTTAATTTTCACAGCAAAATATGCTGTGCAGTAAAAATAACCAACAACTGGAAAAAATGTGTGGTTTTTTGCGTACAGTCTTTTTTTGTTGTTGTTGTTGTTTAATTTCGATTTGTGCAAAACCGACAACATATTCTCATTCAATTCGATTCAATTCACTTCAACCAATATATATGTGTGTGTCCTTGTGTGTGCTGTTTAACCCTGTCTCTGGTCCCCCACATTATTACCAAAACCACCACCACCAACACCCTAATACCAACTCCTTACAAAAAATCCCACCCTTCTTAACCCCATCTCTTGATTTTGGTAACAAACAAGAAACGAAACAAAAAAATTGTCCATTTATTTTCATTTGGGTTATTTGTTTTTGTTTTTCAGTTGTTTATTTTCCGTTCTCTCCTTGTGTTGAATTTGAATTACGAAGTTTGAAAAAAGAGGTTGTATTTTTTTCATTATTCATTTGCTTAAAAAGATGATCCCACAAACATGAATAAATTGAAATTGCAAATCTAATTTGTGGTTATAACTAATAAAAAGTAATTAATTAAAAGTTAATTAGCATTCCATTTGTCCAGAGGGGTAAAAATGTTGGGAATAATCTCCATCAAATAAATCACAATCAAAAGATTAATTGAAATGCAAAAAAAAAAAAAACTGAATATAAAATTGTCAACTCTTTTTTTTTTGCTGTTGGTGCAGTTAGTTGGCTAATTAGTTGACTTAGAGTGAGTGGTGCAAGCTGCTCATTTGTCGCTTTTATGATTTTGAGATTAAATCGAAATTGTTAAATGAAATTAAATTTATTGTCATTATAATGAAAATAGAGAGAAAGAAAATAAGTATACATGTGTAATTATTTATAAATTTAAATAATTAATTTTTAGATTTGTGCACAAATGTGTCCGTTTATTTACGTTTGTCACGTTTTCGTTGTATAATTTGAAATTGAATTTTACAATGGGCTCAAAAT